ATAAGGACGCGCCAGTAGGTTTCCCTACTAATTACGTACATGTCACGGCCACACCAGTGATTGATTGTAACGCTAATATCTCAGACAATCACCCTACAATGGATGACATGTGCCACGCATAGCGCCACGTTTTCCTTCGGCTCTTAGCAACAAAATTACAGAACGCACTTTAATCCCTTTTGTTTGTTCTTCAAATATCGTTTTGGTAAAAGCACCGCAAAAACTTTATACATAAACATGAGGTTAGGTCTGGGTTCGCTAGGCTTTCTTATTCCGAGTTCTGTGTTTTAAACGCGAGTTCTCGCACCAAGTTAAATCGAATTTAAATCGTAACTATAGTAGGTAACTAATATCTTTTTTTTGGAATATCGGTTTCCATCTTTCTTCTATACGTACCTTTGCTTCGGGTCTGGAAAGAATATTATTATTGTTTTTATGTGTTCTATCAACAAAATACAGCTCTTACTACTAATGTTACGTAATTCTGATGGTAGGTATTATTGCATTGTTTTCATCAAGAACTTGCGGTCAAGGTAAAAGGGATTTCGTTAATTACTCGCAACCCATGGGACTTCGACGGGAGATTAATCCCTATCTAACCTTTAGGAACAAATTGGTTTCGGTTTAATTCTTTCCAGCTTAATAGAACTCTACCACACAAACTAAGAAGGGTGTTTGAGAAAACTGGAGAAAACAATATACTTAACATGTATTTTCTAGTTGCTTTGTGAAGCTGTATTTTTTTTGGAACTACAAATGGCAAATCTTCCCAACCTGTCTGGCCAGTATGTCTCTGGTCTATAAAAGAGGGTCGTGTTCCTGTGTGGGACTAAATGACCCTAATTATGATGATAAATGACTAATACATCGCCACTGTTTTCATTGACCTTAGTCGTAGTCCCTCAGAACCCTTTAAAGATCTCTGTGTCTATCGAAACAGTGAGTTAAGGTTGACGTGTCCGCCAGTTGCAGCTCACCGCCGCGTGTTATATCGGAGGTGTGCCGAGACGAATGACCGATGCACCCCGACAAATGGCGGCTGTCAACCTCTGACAGAGCATCTTTCAGCCGCCCGCCCACCACGCTCGAGTGGATGGAGGTGTTTGCGTCAGCGATTTGCACGAAATTGACTGCCAATATCCGCGAAATATGTTTAACTTACATGCACATATTGGTTGCCGGGTTTTACATGAATACTACTCGTGTTTGGCCGCACTATATTTAACATATTGGATGGCTAACGCTTTTGGTGCTTCTAAATCTAAAATATGAGTTGGTGGTTACGTGTTCTGGGTAAAGGAAAGCGGGTTTTGAATTTAATTGGAGTGAAAATTCGATCCTCCGTCGGCCTTCGATTAATAAATTAGAGATGCAGTGGAGAATAAATAACCTCCAGTTTATTGATCCGTACGTTAACAGAATTACGAGTAAGACTATTATGCCTGGAGATTTTGTTATTAATTAATAATTTCTAGAAAATGGTAAAACGCGATTTTATAATTGGAGTGTGCGTTAGCTAAGATAATGAAGAAGCATCGTCAACCATATTGTCACGTTTTGGGTTCCAAAATCACATCTTTTATCTAGGCAACGTCATGATGAACTGTATAACAAACCTTATTTTGATCTAATTCAAATGGTGATTAAGACCAAATACCAACCACCGACAGTGTAACTAAAGTTTATGATTGCGTTACATAAACTACTGCTCGCAGGAGCGTAAACTGCTAACAATTTGACACAAGGCTGCGGCTAGGGCAGCGTCATTGATATACTGCAATTAAATTTTACTGGACAGCCGGACGGACGGCGTGTAACGACACCCAGTCTTAGCTGGAAATAGTTTCACTACAAACCGTTGGGAGCTTTGCGAAGCTGAATAATTTGTCAACAGTCGTACATTAAATGCTTTTGCATTTGGATAAACAGAGAGTTGAAAGTTTATATTTACCACGCTTTTTCACATTTGCGTGGTTAGAGTTTAAATTTTACATTATTTTGCACATAAAGTAAGAATACCAATAAAAATTCCAAAAATATGCACGATGATTTTAACGACGATTAAACCTTAAATATCTACCATGAATCGTACTTATCAACCCTTATAAGTAAGTATGTTTCAGCATTAGTAGGTAAGAAGACAGGTATGTTACAATTGAAAAAATCTGAAATAATATTATGAAAAGTTGAGTATCAATTAGCTGAACGACCACTTCAGGTGATTGTCTGAAAAAAATATAAGAGAGTGAGTTTCTTTATGGATAAATAAAATTTTGAGTTTTTAATTTAATCATCCGCTGAATTCCATAACATTCAAGTCGCCCTATTAATTGAGATAATCGTCGCTCTACTGCAGTTTCAATTTGTTTTCGAACGATGATTTTCGAATGATCCTATAAGTCCCCGTCTCGATGTCCGAGGACGCAGCCGCCTCGATCGCCTCAGTCGGAATAATAAATCTACCGCCGACACACGCCGCCCGGACACGGGTAATTCTTCAAATCCTGAATTTCCATCTATTACCTTTTTATGGTAGGCATAAAAAAATACCGAACTGATTGCTCGAGTTACGTACAATTTGCATTCCTTATTTACGACCCCGTACGCTTATTTAAAACTCACTGCGGACTCACAAAAATATATAAGTCAGCATTTACACTTAAAAACCGGGAAGTCAATTATTTCTGATTATTAACTAACAATTCGACGTATTTCTCCAGTAGTAATTATTTTTTTAAAACAGCAAATGCAAAAAATTAAGTCGTAAACGCGAAATATTAACTGCAGTTGAACACGCTACGGTATTGTAAAAAAACTTGCTAATTGGAGATCACTCACGCTAAACTTGATTCCACGAACAAGTTCGCTAGTGTTGCTCCTGTTGTTTTTTGACGCGAGCAAAAAGTCGGAGGTCCCGGATCGAGGTGTATTTACAGCATGCATACAAAGGAATATAAAAGGTAGACATAAAGCTACGGATACAAGCACGGAATCTGGAGGATCCACCGAGCGCGCGTGCTTCTACAATATTCATGAGCGCGGGCGGCCATCGGCGACCGGCCGCGAACACTATCGCGCATTCGGACCCGTTCCATCAATATAACGAGTTGCTGACCTGAATTGTTTAGCAACCACCTTTACACATATTTTTGCAGAGGCAAATATACGACTTCGCCTTAACATTGTTTTCGACGAGGTCATGTTTATTTTATGCGTAATTTATGGGCTTTTCTTCCTTTACTGCCACTGTGATCCCACGAATATAAAAGGTAACCGGATTGATCTCAAATCTTAGTTTTATCATCGCCCAAAGTTAAAAAATGCGGAATATTTCAACAGAATAAAACGTGGATTAGTAACGTTAACTTAATAAAATTATTATGTCCAATGAGAAAACTTAATTCACATAAGAAAGGACATCATCCACGTTTCATATATTTTTGGTCCAAAATCAAAAGTGCCGGCCAACAAAAAAAAGTGCTGTATTCTGACAGAATACATCTGCCTTAGCATTTGTTACTATGGCACTAAAGCCGTAGCTCCACTGTGCGTCGAGTATTTGAGATCTAAAAGTCATCGACTATTCATACATTTTTTGTTCAAAATCAAAAGTGTCGGCCAATAAAAAAAATGTGCTGTATTCTGACAGAATACGTCCGCCTTAGCATTTGTTACTATGACACCAAAGCTGTAGCACCACTGTACGTCGTAGTATTTGAGATCAAAGTCAGTNTAAAAAAAATGTGCTGTATTCTGACAGAATACGTCCGCCTTAGCATTTGTTACTATGACACCAAAGCTGTAGCACCACTGTACGTCGTAGTATTTGAGATCAAAGTCAGTCGTTTCATATATTTTTAGAACTCAAATACTACGATGCACAGTGGTGCTACAGCTTTGGTGCCATAGTAATTAATGCTAAGGCGGACGTATTCTAACAGAATACAGCACTTTTATTTTTTGGCCGGCACTTTTGATTTTGGACCAAAATGGATGATGTCCTTTCCTGTTTTGATGATGACGTCAGAATGACTTTCCAAGTTTTCCAACATAAGATAACAATACATTACTAAATTGATTACCATGTTTTAACGAGAAGTGAATAAAAACATTTGGCTTTCATTTCTACGACTCACAACCGACCGATTAATAAATAATAAATTATAATAAATCGGATCCGGCATAAGGCTGCACAATAGCAAAATTTCCGCACTAAAATTTGATTACCGCTTACATATGCATACGTGGATTGCCCAATTTGTATGTTCAACTAAGTAGGGATGAGCTCTGAAAGCGCCAACCCACAAATTTGAAAGTTGGCCAAGTTGTATCGACAGGGGGAGAGTGCGGTCGCCGCCCGCGGCCCCGCTCCGCTTACCGCTCTCCGCTCCGCCTGCGTTTGTGGTTGCCATACCGCCGTAGTTGCGGCACGCATTCCGAGTGTATAATGCTATCATCATGCATGTTGCTCAGGAGTGGCTCGCTTGTGATTGCGCTAGTATATCACACAGGTAGACGTCTGATGAACAACGCTACACGTACCTATCAAGTACGTATTACTATAGGAGGAAGCGGATAGTTGCTAACAACTATTTCAAGTTGACTTGTATTAACGGTCGGTATACGTATACAAAGGAAAGATAAAGCGTTTAGAACAATGGCCAAGTAGAAATCAGCAAACTTGAGGTTAGGGTTTTGTAGTTTAATTTATAGTACCTATTGAATCCCATTTTATGTCTAACGACAGTTTAGAGGCCTTCGATTCAGGATTGGTCTCTCTAGGGATGGGATAGAGGCAAAGAGTACATCGCTTTTTCAGATTTTCAGCAGTCGTTTGTACAAGTCTAGGTCACGGATTCCACTGAAAAAAAGTTTTCTCTTTCCCAAACTTAACACTACCAGCTGGCGCATTGGAAGACACTCTAATGATGAACCTTGCACAAAAGTAACGGTAATAGGAAATGTTTTTTTTTTCATCGAAAAAATTCGTTACATTTCAGGGAATTAAAGTGTCAAGAAGGTACAAAAAAGCAACGAAACGTTTACAACCTGAGCGAAATTTACTTGTTGGCGTCTGCGCTCAAGCAAGCGGAGCAGGAACAGGCTAGGGTAATTGAACTAATAAATCTAGCCGTGTAACTGCGCTCCCGCCTCGCACAGGATCAACGCGAAACCATTAAACCTACGCTCAGATTCTGCCTCGACTTCGCCTGCATTTAGTCACAGGACACCGACGACCCGACGTCACGATAAGCTCCCCGAGCCGCGGATCTCTGCCATGCCGTTTCACTTTTATTCACTTCCTTGAAAGGATATCGGGTTCCGAACGAGATTGAAACTGAATTATTTTAAACAAGCTGCACTTAGACGTATTTTCCCATTAGGACCGAGATTGGAAGTCAAACGTCGTTAGGTTCAGTCGAGCTGAACTAAAATAGGACCAACTGAAATACAAGCCCTGAATAAACTGAAGAATGAACTTTGAAATTCAGTTGCACTATGTCGACAATATTTTCATACCACATCCACTACGATACAAATAAATAGAAAAAATTGGACGTACACATTCGCTATCGCAGTAAAAAGACGCTTGCGAAACTGCTTATCAGTTGACTTTGTTTAGTATGCAGCTTGATTCCTTTCAATGGTAAATGTGTAACTGGGTTCTCATGCGAAGCATATTGTGTCGCCACTTCCTATTGTTCATATCAGTCTTATCGCAATTAAGTGACGATGCAGTTGCGCAGGTATCAATCACAATTATTTATCTCCAAATTCACAAATAATAAACTTTAAAGTGTTTGAATAATTTCGGTTATTATTTTTGCCAGCCTTATTTCGATAATAATCCAATTCCATTTTCGGGGGACTTCATGAGGTTTGTGAAAGATATGGGAAGAGTCGTATACCACCGAAAAGATGAGAAGAAACCGAGTGAAGTGTTAAAACGGAACTTGAGACCGCTACGTATCAGCACTACAGTACGGAATAGACTGGATCCCACAGGACGTGATGTTAGTAAGTCACAATAATAACTAATTATTATGATTATAAAAAATATTTTCTTCTAGGACCTAATTTAATGAATGAATTATTTACATAAACCATTGGTTTAGCCGTACTAGATTTGATCATGTTTTTCTTTAAATTCAAGATAACCTGAACACGCAAAAAGCAGCTTTAAGGGATGTGCTCATGATGAAGCTTGTGTCTTATTATGAAGACAAGTATAAGCTCTCCAACCCAAAAACGACAGTCACGCCGCCAACTAACGAATTCGTTATAGCCGGTGCAAAGAGGCGGCATTATGAACCGATTAGATATTTTGAAGACACAACAACACAGGTGACAGTGAGTAAAAACTTTTTGGTTAATAAAGTTCTTTAGCGTTAGGGGGCGTCCATAAATTACGTGAGACAATTTTGGCCATTTTTCAACCCCCCCGCCCCCCTTGGTGAGATTTGGTGAGATTTTGCCTGACCCCCTCCCCCACCCCCCTAGTCTCACGTGATATTTAATAAAATGCCTATTTTGCAATGTCTATGCTTCGATTCTATTACATTTATATGAAAAAATCAGTAACCCAGTGTCGTCGTGCCACGCGTAGTGCAGGGTTCNCCCCTAGTCTCACGTGATATTTAATAAAATGCCTATTTTGCAATGTCTATGCTTCGATTCTATTACATTTATATGAAAAAATCAGTAACCCAGTGTCGTCGTGCCACGCGTAGTGCAGGGTTCCGTAGCTTCCCGTCGTTTAGTAAGATAAGCAATTGCTTCAACCTAGGACCAGTTTTTTGATTCATAGTTAAAATAACTAATTGTTGAATTTTGCTACTAATGGTTAAATATTAATAAAATGTAAACTAATAGTTAAAAAATCTACTAAAAGTCAAGTTAAACATTGTTATAAAAACATTTTTTCTGTTATTTAACCACTTGTCATTTGATATCTGTCAAATTTGACTATTGGTTACTATAACTACGAATACATAATATTCTCATACGTATGTAATGTAATGTCATTTTTTAGGGTTCCGTAGTCCTGACAAGGAACCCTTATAGTTTCGCTAGGTCTGTCTGTCTATCCGAGGTTTCGCTTGGAAACTATTGGCACTGGGGAGCTGTAATTTTGTGAAGGTATGTATTTGTGATATATTAAACACGCCGACAAAACGGTAAAATAAAATTATGAAAAAAAAATTTTTTTCTAGGGAGCTCCCCTGCATGTAAAATGAGGATGAATTTGTTCAAGGAAAACTATAACGGTTAAGATACATTACTTAGTTTAAAAGTAATAGTCATTTGACTCATGTATTATAAAATTTCTTAACCAGTAAAAAATCCTTTGAAGAAAATATGAAAAGTGACTTTAGATGAAGTAATGGCTTGCTTCTGATATATATTGTGGTAACGACAGACAACTACGGAACCCGTGCTGCGCGTGACACTACACGCACTTGGCCAATTTTTTACGCAATAGCGATGCCGATGACGTTTTTTTTTAATTTCGAATTTTGTTAATTTCGACATTTATTCTGCATCTTTAGCACAGGGATCTTTAGTGTTCACAAATGCAGATGGAGGCATTTTTAGTTTAATTTGATTAGACGGTTTAGAATACATTGTCATTATCATCATAAAAAAATCATTTTTCTGGCAATTTTACTCTATTTCTTGCGGGAAAAATTACGTGATATTTTCCGAGACCCCCCCTCTCCCCCACGTGAGATTTAGTGAGGTTTTCGTTGACCCCCTCCCCCCCCTAAAAGTCTCACGTAATTTATGGACGCCCCCTTAAGAATCGCATCTCACTTTTTGTACAGGAGCCTAGATTATGATTAGGTGCACTAAGCACTCGGGGAGGCTAATAATTTATTAATGGAAGTCCTTCTTACGACTTGGCTCGGCTGTCATCTTTGCTTTGGATTAAGGTGTAATATCTCCAGTGCTGTAATTATCTCCACTGCTTGTAGGTACAGCGGTCAGTTGCCTACAAGCGTCAAGATTACCGCAATAGTAATGTATCATTTTGGTGATATTTTTTCGAAATAGTCTGTGTGATAAACTTTTATCACAGCGATATAGAAATATAAAATGTTTATTCTTTTTCAGGACAAAGACGGCCATGTAGCGGAAGTGGTTGTAATTTGAGAAATCAAAAAAGTGCCTATCGTAATTTTCAAAAATATTTTTATTGAACAATAAATGTTGATATTGTAAAGTTTCATTTCAAAATTTTTCATTGAAATACTGAGTATTAACTTAGATGCCGACTTTAACACGAATGACAAAAAAATTAATATCTCAAACCATGTAAACGACAAAAAAAATCCGCAGCGTTAAACATATGAAAGTAGATTATATACGTAGTGGAATATTTCCAATCTCTCAGGCTCTCAGGCACCCAATTATGTCGTGTCCAAGACGCGCTGGCTGCCAGTGTTCAACAGAGTGGAGCGAAGGGCTCGCTTGAGGCGCTTTAAAGCGCTGGATATCATCATTTGTCTAATATCTCACTTAGTTATTAAGTTAGATAGCTTTGCTTGAATATACAATGACAATAGTATTTAATGGTCATGGATGTTATTTACCTACAATAAAGAGTGTTGGTTGATTAGCGCAACGTCATAGAGTTTCATGAATTTATTTATTGCGGAGTAGTCAATGCAAATATGATAGATACGTTAGTACTTATAGCTCATGCAGTGAAGTTACTAATGAAACTGCACCCGTTTAAAAACTTTGAAAGTAGGTACTTAGTTTTAAAGCTTGATTTTTTAAAATTGAAAAATGATGATCCCTCTTGGGCAATAGCATAAAATAGAGTTAAAGCCGCCAACAAGCGACAGTTTAATTAAATCCGGCGGTTGTTTCGGCGACGCAAAACATTACATGCGCAACTTTGTCCACAAATTACGTTTACACCATTCAAATAGACTTTCCTTGCGTAAATACTTTTGTAACTTAGTCCATTAAAGAAACTTTACACAACAAATTACCATAACACTGAGTGGTTTGTTTAATGCTTCTCCTCAATAGATGCTAAATAAATGATAATATTATACAAATAAGATACCCCGAGCAATAAATACTTTCACGAGTTTCCAGTTATTGAGGCTTATTCAAGGGTAGGAATCATGTTTAAGTTTTTCTGTGTAATAACCTTTATTTTAGTTCGCGTTATAAACCCTGCGTGAGTACCATAAACCTTAGAGTCGCGTGTTTGACCGAGAGGCCATCGTAAAATGCATCATAAACTCGTGCACATAAATTTAGAAAATCGACGTGACTCAGGAAATTGAATTGAATTTTTGTGCGCGCGATAGAGTCGAACCCTTAACTAAGAATACTACCTGACGTTAAAACGAACCATAGTTTAGGATGCAAAGTAAAGCAGTAAAAAGTTTTACAGTTCCTGAAAATATGTTTTGATTTGAACGCCGAAAATAATAAGAGAATGTTAGTAATAATTCGGGCTGCGTTTGGCCCCGTGCCGCAGCAGTAAAGAGGAATCTCAGAGGGCAATAGGCCCGGCCGGAATACGCGAGGACTTGTTATGATGCCGCCCCGTTCTTGCAAAACAATACCAATCGTATTACAATTGCACCCTAATATCAAAATAACCTTTATTTTCCTCTTACACTCAACAAATATTGCGTATTCATTGCCAAAATCCATTCCAATAAATTTTACTCAGGGTATGATTTGAATAATAAAAATAACGTGAGGTTTCCGGCTCTAAAAACGTTACACAACCTTTGTTTCTTATTTTAGAAATAGGAACATCGAGGCAGGCGGAAGTTAGCTTAAATTCGTCTTTGTAACCAACTTGTGGTCAGCACAAAAAGAAAAGTTCTCCTGTGAAAATCGCAATCGCCGCCCGCTAAGAGAGTATTCTTATTATCTTTTTGGCATCCAACACAATCTCCGCCGAACAACTTCCAATTGGCAAAGATTGGATGAAAATTTCGTGCCTGTGATAGAAACAAACGGCCGCGCAACAATTTTTAAAATCTAGGTCCGAACTCCGAACTAACATGCGAAAAGTTTCCAATTACAAAAAATAGTTTCGTTTCGCAACTGAAAAATTTCATTCCGAAAAATAATCTTGCGGACTGAAATGATTGTAGTCTATCGTAGCACTTTTTCACAAATCAATTTCCAACTGTACAACAGTGTGTTCAATCAAACCGTTTAGTTGACATAGAATAGCTTTTAACCCTTCCAGACATAACGGACATAAAATGAAATATCAGTCGGGCCCACCCCGGCCCGTATTTTGTTCCAATCGCATTTCCCTTTGGAGCGATCTCGCGGCGGAAATTAATCCATCCGCCGAATGAATGGACTGCACTTGTGCGTGAGGGTCCTATGACTGATACTTTTTACTTTAAACGCCCGATAATGTATCTAAATTGGGATTGATTTTCATTTGGAACATATAAAAGTTAAGTAAGTAATTAATTTAGAATTGAAAGCTTTGGGACGGATATCTTTTTATGATATCTATTAATAATTTAAAATTGTAGATCTTAACGTTTCATGAAAATTGACGGAGGTTTTTTTTTGTGAAAACCGGTGTACCTAATATAAGTTATAATGTAATATACATACGTACAAATATGAAATATAATTTTCATAACAACATTACTTACTTCTTTATAGGTTTCTACAATGCGCAAAATCATAGGTACAGTTATTTAATTCAGCAAACAATATCAATAGAAGTGGAGCACGTAAGTAAACAATTTTATCTACTTGGAAAACTTCGAAAACAACATGCATTATTGAAATCACCAATACCACTTCGTCGTATTTACCTCAATTTGCCTACTTACCTACTTACATAATCACACTATTTTCAGCAGTGAAGCTGAAATAGCAAAAAAATAAGTTTTTCATGTCGTGTAGAACCGTGTCTATAAACCTACCTACATACAAAGTTTCATAATTGGGTTTAACAAGCTCTAGTTATCGATCAACATTTATTTAACCTTGTCATAATTATTACGTGCCATTGAGGTTGTTTAACAATTTTAATGATATTTTATGTCCCAATTAATTTGACATAATGTTTAGATTACATAAAATTGTTATATTTTTATATTAATTTTAGCATTAACTAGTCCGTAATCCGAAAATCCCGGGATTCGTCTGAAAACTTCTCGGTAATTTCGGGCTTGAAAAAAGACCGATATTGGAAACTCACAGCCACTCTATCAAGATTGTAGGTTACAAGAGGTCATGTACAGAAAGCATCTTATATACTCCTGATAAGTGCTATTTTTCAACAAAGATATGTAGATGTACAGCAGACTGTAAACATTGGTAAATATTTACCTACTTTCTCAGGTCATAGTGTTCTTGCATACGTGATTTAGAAAATATTGATGCGATTAGTATAAAGCTGTCTCTCTATAACTTAGCTACTTACATTAATATGATAAGTAATGAACAATATTTTCTAGGAATATTCTTTCATACTAATCATTATTATAGACAACATAAAATTATATTCTCAGAACAACCAAAAGTATTAGTTTCAGTGATCAATTATCTGTTGTCGACGTGAGTTAATTTCATTACTGAAACGCTAAAATGATTGATTTTGACTTTTGTGAATGTTTGGAACCGATCGCTAGCAGATTAGTCATTCATTTGTTTTAAAACTGCCGAAAACATATTTTGGCCTCTATTTCAAGCTTCGAAATTTTCCAAACAGTCAATTGCCTCAGTAACCAAACAATTCAGTGCAAAACTGTCGAAGTTGCGCTCTGTTTACCGAAATACCTTCGAAAATCGTTTGAATGCAAGTGAGCCGGCTCCGGAGCACGATATTTGTCTAGTGCATTAGTGGGATTAGCAATCTCATATCCGCGGAGCTAATATCTGGTGGTGATCCGGGAATTAATCAGTTAGCTGCCCAAGCCAGGAACAACTTTGCCCATTAATTCTTTTCCCATGTTTTATACAGTAACACTAGCCAACGTTTCTGTTTGCGCTGATTTTATATGAGGCATTTAGGAATTGCGTTTTCTACATTTTAGATGAGTATTTTTTTGGTGAATTTAACTATTTAATGTAGAAATATGTGACTGCAGTTGACTTGAAATATAAGTGTTTTTAGTTATTTTAGCTAGCTTTTAGGTAAATAACACTGATCAAATAAGATCTAATACTTATTCAAATTGTGAAACTATATCACAATCTAAAATTCATCTTAACCTAAATTATTTTGCGCAAGAAATAAAATGTAGAGCAGTTAAAATTAAACCTCTTAGTTACAAATTTTCTCAGTGAAAGCAAAAAGCAAGCGCCCTCACTCTAGACTGGAGGCTAATCACGTAGTGATTCGATTAGCGCGCCCGATTCGAAACACACATAATTAGCAAGTTCTCAGAAAATTATATCCCTGATTACCTTTCGAAATGTGAAATCCAGTAAGTGTTGCGAAAAATTCTAGTAAATGTTTAGATATTAAGCTCTGTGCAAGATCTACATACCTAAGTTTTAATAAGCATACCTATATTTACTTCAAGTTTCAAAGACAACCAATTTCCTAAGTAATTAAGAAAGTAATATTCCTTCTATAAATGAGAAGACATAGGTAGTATGTGAAGAAGTTAAATGGTATAGACTCTTTAAACTAAATATTATTTCCATCAGACTTACCTACATTAGGTATAGGCACAGTACACACAGTCCAACGTATTCTAAGAAGTGACTGAAATTCATCTCACAATATTGGATTACCCAGTCACCAAGACCGGTGAAAAGTAGTTGTAATTTTTGACAATAATAATACGTTGTCTATAAACGAAAAAATATAATAAAGGTAAAGAAAATTATTATAATTATTATATACTATATCTATGACCTTTAAGAGCCATTTCACAAAAATATTCCGCGCGAATTTAGGTAAAAGCTGTCAACGCAACGTCAAAAGAGTAAAAAAAACGCTGAAATGGACAAAAAAATCTTGAGCCGTGACCGTATTAAGACTTGATTTAAGTTATTATTTTTAAGGTAGAATGAGGTATTCAAACTTGATTAATTAATTTAAATTTTTAATAGAGTTTATTAAGTCTTTTATATTTCGATTCATAATGAAACACGAATAGGTATAATATGTAAAATATATATTAAGTACAAAATAAAGACAGTCACATAGTGAAAAATAAATCTGCCCCCTTACAGCTC